AAAAAAAAAAAAGAACAAAATTCGTTGCTTTCTTTTGTTCACCCCATATGGTACTCTTCAAGGGTACCTGTGCGAAACAACTTTAATGTCTGTATTGCCTGGGTAGCGCAGACGCTGCTGGAAAATACACCTACCCAAAGGGCTGTCATAGCTTTATAATGTAGCAAAGGTGGAACAACAATTTTGAGTTTCTACATACACGGATACAAACTTGCACATGTGTTGTTCATGCATGTATATATATATGTCCCTGTCTGCGTTAGGAACTGAGAATACATCGCTCCTACCACTCATATCTACGTGACAGAAACGGTCTAACATGATGCAAATGGAATTGACGTGGAACCTTTTTTCTTCCCTTCGCAGGGATATGTACACACATATGCAAACCTACATGTACGTGCTATCGGCGTGCCGTCAAAATTGTTCACTCGGCATTACCTGCTAAGCAGGAACAACAACGTAAACAAAAAGGATCTATCATATGCATTTTCAAAGGGGCGAAAACATTTTCAGTGCCTTTACAAATGGAATAAAAAAAAAAAAAAAAAAAAAAAAAAAATATTGTAATTCCAAGATTTAAAATTTGCGAAGATGATGAAACGTATACAAGTAAATTAAAAATATTTGAGAAGCCCTCACATTACATCAGGTATGAACTTTATAAAGACCAAGTGACAGGGATCAAGTTAACAGACGGATCTATTATCCATTACGACCTATTAAAAGAAGACGAAATATTTCTTCAAAGTCTTAACTCTTCCATCAACATACAAGTGAATGATGAAGACTTTTGTAAGCTAATTGATAAATTTGAAAAACTAACAGGTTACTCAGAAAACAAAGAAGAAATAAACTTGAAGGATGCAATAAAAGCTGCTGCTGATTTGAGAATCACTCTTAAGAGTAACGTTGTAAAGGATATCCATACGTACTGGAAGAGTAAAAGAAAAAGATTAGGCAGACCACTGCTTCGAATGTTTTGGAACAGCTCTCAAAATATTTTGCCACACTATTCAGTCTTCAGATCGAGAGTGAAAGAAAAAATGACACTGCGGAAACACAAGAAAAAGAATAGCGAAATTATTTTGAAGATGCAGGAACTTATTGAAGATTTTAGAAGACTGGATCGAATATTACGCAAAATGAAGCAAAGGGATGAAAAGAAATTACTCCTCCTACAGTTGAACTCCATCCTTTTTGATCAGAGAAAAAATGAAATAAGGGACAAAACGTATGTCTGTCCTATGTGGAATTACTTTAAAGATTACAAAATGGAGAAAATTTACAAAAAGTTTAAGAAGGACAAATATTACAAGAGCTTGTACAGCGGCGCCAACACGGGCAGCCACCACAGGGGCAGTGGTCACCATGAGAGCGGTCACCATGAGAGCGGTCACCATGTGAGTGGGCACCATGTCAGCGGCCATCACTCCAAGAGTCATCACTCACATGACACGCACCACTCTCACCGCTCTCACCACGCACATAACAGATCGTGCGCCCACATCCACAAGGATTCCATCGTTAGCAGGAAAATTAACAAAAGAGCAAAGAGCCAAGGGCTATGCGAACAAATGAATGTGATCAAAATAAATAAAAGTGAATACAAAAACGTAGTCCTTGTTAAGAGGCGAGGCAGAAGCAACAGAATATGGATAGACCGAAAATTCGTCAACGACATGAATAAGGAAGATATTAATTACTGCGATTTATCCTACACCTTTAAGGACTTCGTGGAGGCCTCCGTCAATTTAGAAAAAAATTACGAAGAGGATTTAACCAATTACATCTCCGGAAGGCAGAAACATATACCCATCAAGTTGGGCATCAACAGTGGTGACATTAAAAATTTGGACTCCAACTTTTTTAGCAATCACAGGAATGGGGAGCAGAAAACTGGGGGTGACGGCGGGGGTGTAGTGGAGGTGGACACAGCAGCGATTAGTACCACTGCGATAGGGACATCTGCAGTCGGTGACAGAGAAGAGGGTGCCATCCTCGTGCAGGGGTCCGAAGAAATGAAAAAGGAAAAAAAAAAGAGGAAAAGAAGAAAAGACTCGAAAAATGTCGCACCGAGCACCTCGTACGACGCGACCAATGCATTTACTGCCCAACCAGTGGAAGACGAGTTAGCCGCATCGCAGAAATATGCTAACGCTACCACCAGCGTATTATCCGTGGAAGGAGGTAATAACAATCTTGACTACCCCTCAATCTATAACAACCAAAAGGAAGGCAAAAGATTTATTAATTTCATGCATAACAAAGGAGACGCAGAATTAATAGCAAGTAGCTCCCTGTGGGGAAAGTATAACACGAATACGAATGAAGCATTGAATGGGAAAACAAAACCCTATGACGATGAATCACCTTACCCACTGATAAGTCCTGCTAACGATAAGGTGGAGAATGCACTGAATGAATCGAAACTTATAACGAATGAAGATCCAAACAATAAAAATGAAAAATCAAATTCGGTTCACAGCACTGAACAGGCAAGTTACAGCAAAGCGCTTTTTCAATTTGATGATTTGGTTAATCCACAGCTCAATAGGGACAACTACATTTTTTGTTTGAGCAAATATGCATGTGTACAGAAACGAATTTTATTTTATCTCGAAAATGTACTTAATTTTGATAACTATAATTTTAAGAGCAAGAAAAGGGAAACCAACACCAGTGTTCCTCAGAGCACGTCCAAGTCTGCGCCACCGGTGGAGCTTGCCCCAGAGGGGGAAAACACGGACAAGGTGAAAGAGATGCAAGAGGTGCGAGAGGTGCGAGAAGCTCGTGAGGTAGTCGACTTGGTGGAGCTGGATGATAAGCCAAAAGAGGGAATCGAGGCCGGCGTACCTGACCCAGCTAACGTACTGCACATCGACACGCATAATTAGTAGTGTCAATTTTTGTATACGCCCGTGAAAAACGAGCTCGTTTGTGTGTGTTCGGGGATCGTACATATACCCACGGGGTTTGCCTAACCCATGTGAAAAGAACCAACGCGGAAGAAGTGTCCCAGTGAAGAATTTGCATAGCAGCAGGTGACTCCTTTCCCTCACGTCGCCCCTACTGTAAAATATCCCTCGTGTTATTTTCCATATGTGCATTATTCCCTGTTTTTCTGTAACCGTTGTTTTTTTTTTTTTTTTTGTTGGTGTCGTCATGGGCAGAAGGACACTACATATGCAATGCATGTGACGCTTTATCTGCGCATCGATTTGAACTCCCCTCTCAGTTCTAAAATTGACCATGAGTATATATCAGAGTGGAAAAAAAAAAAAAAAGTTTATGCCCCATACAGGAGCAATCTCCACATGTGCGTCCGTGCAGATGGTAGCTTTTGCAGGCATCACCAGTGCGATTGCTACTATGTCAGGTGTAGCACCTCTCTCAAAGCGCAAACATTTTTGTGTTCCCCCTACCCTATCGATTTTGTAACCACCCCTTTACTGAACTCATTTTAACATACCCGAAATTTTTTTTAAATGATGAAAGTGAATTATTGAATAGGCCAATTCGTTGTGCATACTTTAGGGCAGATCTGTTTTGAAAAATGGTCAGGCGACAGTGGCTACTAAGATGAATGCTCTAGAAAGTGTAATGGAGCTGTTCGTATTTTTTTTTTTTTTTTTTTTTTGTTTCGATAGGAATAAAAACTGCCTTTTTCAAATGCGCCCAACGGCAAAAAGCTTTTTTACATTTGAAGCTGTGCTAAAAAAGGTGGAGGGGCATCCCTGCGAACAAAATTAGTTGCGCCAAAAGAACAGTGCACATGGCTGCGATAAAAAAAGAGGCAAGCCTCCATACTATAGTGCGTCTGCAAATCGTTTCACCCAATTTGTTCCCTTTACGAAATATGAAAAAAACAGCGCATGGCCTCTAATTGCACGTTTAAGAGTAACCACACTGAATTACATAGCTGTATGAATTCCCAGATGAGCGCATGCGGCCCATGGGCTTGAAGGCCAGTGAGCAGGCCAAACGTTCGTAATAAGGTACCACCCAGAAAGGCAGCAAAATGGGGAAAGGGAAATTTGCTTCTTGGTATAAAAACTGCATAGGAAGTTGTACTGGCCATAACAGGGGGTAAAGTACTTCCTTGTGCTGTCCCCAACTTCCACCCCCTTTGTTTTTTTTTAGTATTCCTTTACGAATAAAAAAAAAAAAGAAAAATGAAAAAACCTTTTGTACCAAATTTGGGGAAAAAAAACGAACATGTAGAAACCTTGAGCAAAATCAGCTCCATGATAAATCATATGAAATTGATTGAAGATAATCTGAAAAATTTATTTTTATCGGAGGATGACCTGAATAGCCATGACGCCTTTTTGTTGGTACGTTCTCAAGTGCAGGTCACTCTGCACAGGTTTAGCGCAATCTTAGGGCCGTCCGGTTGTGAGGAGGACGGGGGAAAGGGCAAATCGGGGAAAGCAGTACACAATGTGTTAGTCCAGTGGGGGGTAACCTAACCGCCTTTGTGCCCAGTGTGTCCCCCCTGTGTTTGAAGAAAGTCTCGTCAAGCACATCTCTACTTGAGAGGCCCTCCTGTGTACACATGCTCTGATGGGGGCGTTCCGTTCGTTCATGCCCATCCAGAGGTCTCAACCAAATGGGGCAGTGCCCAATTTTGGAACACCGAAGCAGCGCATTGTACTTCACCTACGTGTGGACTCTGCCACCCGTCTGCGTTTCCCCTTGCCTGCATTTCCGCCTCGCTATGCACTCATGCTCCCCCCACACTGCTCGCAGTTTCGAGGAAAAGTCGCGAAGAGAATTGTCCACTACTCTAGCCTAGCTGCGGAATGCAAAGACAAGATCCTATGCGCCGAGGTGTCCGATGAGGACTTGGAGGACGTCAAGAACCAGTTCGAGTACCACCAAGGGAATGTGGAAAGGTAAGGCGAGGCGAAACTAGGAGCAAAACTAGAAGCGTAGCGACTATTTCTTTTATTTTATGGAGGGGCCGAACGCATCATTTGTGTCCTTTCCCGTGCTCACCCCATTTGTATATCATTCGCACCCCCCCTCCCTTTTCACCCAAGGTATAAGACAAAGCTGAGCATATGGTGGAACAAGAAGGGGAAAGACTACCACCGCCTATGCATGAATGAATTTCTGACCAAGCGTAAAAGGTACAGTGCATGTCTCTGCATAGGGATGAATCACATCCCACTCGATTTTACCATGAGAGTATGCACTTAGAGAGGCGGCATCCACGCGTGTGTGTCCCATATGGTACTTGTCCAACGGTATATAACTGCAAAAGGATTTTTTTGGCCACATTTATCCCCCACCTCCTCCCTCCTTGTAGTGACGACCATGGGACAGTGTCAGAGTCAGCAGAGAAAAAACAAACGGATGCAAATTTAAAAGACACGAAGCAAATGATGATTGAAGAAATTAACAGAATGAAGAGCGTCAGATCTGAGTTACTCGAATCGTCCCATAAATTGAGGAAGCAGGATCAAATATTTTACAGTAATAATACGACAATGGGAAAAAAAAAAAAAAAAAGAAAAAAAGAAAAGTGCATACAAAGATTCGCATTTGTGATACAGGTGCGAAGGGGTGTTTACACATGTGTCCGCCTCTTTTTTTTTTTTTCTTACCACCCCTGGCAGTGTTCGAGTCGAAGATAAAATCCAGCACTGAGCTGTTATTTTCCTTAAAAAAAAAGTAAGGCCCCCTTTTTTTTTTTAATGCCAAATGGATAAATTCCATATTGGAAAAGTATACCAGTACATATCAATTGGTTTTTCGTGTGTACATTTTTTTTTTTTTTCCCGTCCAGTAGACCCATTTTTCACTTTGTCATTGCATCCCACCCACCCCTTTTTGTCAGGGCCCAACACGACACACGTTATGTGTGGTATTCTTTTTTGTTTTTTCTGAGTGTGTGCTCCTATATAATCCTGCGAAGGCTGGGTATCATCTGGGCCCTCATAACGGTAATGAGTGTGACACCCGCGAAGGCACGGCGATGGTCCGAGCGTGTTCCCACCATGAGTAACGTGGCGTGAACTACGCCTAAGGAAGACAAACAAAACATTTAATGATGATCTTTCCCCCCTGTGCAGATCATCAAGTTGCTGCTATCACTGATTCTCTACTTGGTCAAATTCGCATTAAGCATGTTTCATTTTGTTAAAAAGGGTAATGATGAAAAGGGTATAATTGCGGTAGACGATTTGGGGAAAACCTTTGAGCCCATTCCAGTTACAACTGAGTTGTGAATTAGTATAAGGGAGGAAGCAAAATGCCACAGGGGATAAAAATGGGGCAGTTATGGAAGATGCGAAGTGGTACACTCAACAAGTGGTCAACGTAATGGATGAAAAGTCTTCCCAATTGGGAACAAAACAAGCACCATACACTCTGTGTCTGTGTACATATACGCGTTCATCACACAATTTGGAGCGGCACGTCCATGCCTTGCGGCGGGAGGAATGAAGGGTGAGTAGTATCTACCCAAATGTTGATAATTCCCCCACTTCTATTTTTTTTTTTTTTTTTTTTTTTTTTCAATGTGGTTATTTCAAAAGTGGAGCTACTTTTCTCCGTGTCCGCCTTCCGTGAGCTGCTCAACTATGAACGTGTCGAACGCGGCGTGACCGTGGGCAACAAAAAAACCGACTCTGCCGGAGTTGAAATAATTCTCACCTCGCAGAGAAAACAATTTGACACCATCTATGGACACGCTGAGGTTGCCCTGTTCTCCTGTATCTTGCACAAGCAAATGATGCCTTTGAAACGAATTGATGCTTTTTACATAAGCACTTTTTATGACCGATTCGATATTATTTTTTTTTTTCTTCAAAATGACTTCCCTATTAGTACTTGAAATTGTTAATGTATACATATTATCCCTGTTGTCATGTCTGAAGAGGAGTCCCACTTCTGTGTCATTTTCCAGTTTAATGTACGACGATATGATAATCGAGTTGCATAAGTTCTTTTTATAAATAAGTGATGAGTTTACCGATGCAGATTTGTAGTTGTTGCTAAATATTATTCTTTTAATCCCAAATTGGGATATCACTTTCCAGTTGTTTGAGGCCTCTGTACTATCGCTCATCCATTCGGTTAAGTTAAAATTTTTTTTTCTGTACTCTTCACATGAGTTGTGTATCATGTCTTTGGTGGAAGCGGGAGGGATGCTAACCCCCTTTGGATGTCCCAACATGTTCGCATCATTATAATACGAATTTGATTCTGGGGTAGGATAAACATCATCCATTATTTCTTCCTCCTTGAAATAGTCGTAGTCTTTGCTGCTATAAGGTATGGTGTACACACTCAGATCATCCTTACTCTCCCTATTGGAGAATCGATAAGAATTTGTCACTGATACGGTGGAGATGTTTTTCTTGTCTGGTATCACCAGGGTATGGTTTAGGAGATGTTCAAACTGGAGGGTTCCTGTAACGAAGTTTTTAAATTCTGCGGTCCCACTTTTGGTGAAAAGACCCACCGATCTGTTCTCACCATTTATTGTAGATTTTCCTGCACCCATGCCGCTTACCCCTCTATCGGCGAAATTTACCTCGATTACCTTTTTGTAGTTTAAGAAGACATTCATTTTTCCAGAAACAAATTCGCACGTCAGGGTGTTGAAGTCTTTTGCGTGCGCCTCCACTCCTTTGGACAGTATTCTTCAAAAATGCCACAATGCCGCAAGGGCGCGATGCGGAAAAGAAAAAAAAAAAAAAGAAAAGGAACAAATTACCAAATGATTAATGTGAACGGGTACAGGGCAGAATGGACCCCTCGCAAAAAAGGGAATAAGCGAAATAAAAGGTCAAAATGCAAAGCGGCTCCATGACCCATAAACAATTTCTTCTTCCACACTTACTTGCTGTTGAGGGAGCTGTTCACCTCTTCCACGGAGAGAACAGCCTGGTCATTCAAAAAGGACAACTGGACGAACCTAAAATTTTGAGCATCTACAAAATCGAAAACGATACCAGAAGCTGACTGATTTATTTTGGGTTCAAGGGAAGAAGCTTTTTGGAGAACCTCGACGTTGATGAACCCCTCAACAATTATGTGATGTCTTAGCAACAGAATTGATGATGGGTATTTAATGTTTGTCATTTCAATTGGTTGTACGATTGAAGTGTAATGCTTCCTTTTCTGGTACTTCCATAAGGATTTTATGTTTAGAAAGTCCACCTGCAGCCAGTACTTGGATATAGGATAATTAAACCTTTCCTTGAATGGGTCATATTTTTTAGCATCCATAATGAAGTACTCTAACTGGTCGATTCTATTTTCATATTCACTTAACATTTTCAATAGTGCATTTTTCGTTACTTGCAATGACGTGGACAAACTATACAGTTCCCTTTTTTGCTGTTCTTGTGTGTCTCCGACAAGACGCATGACGTCAATCAGTTCGTTCAGCTGATAATCCACTTCATTCGTGAGTTTGTCATTTTGCTTCAAGTGTAGAACCTGTTTGGAGGGGACCACATGGTTTACCGTGTTTTTGAGGTACTTTTTTTTATCACTGCAGATGAATGCCCATTCACGTACACACAGATTAGGGTCATAATTTGGGGGGAAAAAAGGGAAGAACTTGTTTGAGCAAACCTCAATGATATACACCGAGGGGGAAAAATTCACTGGGTTATATCCTTACCTGGGCTTCCACCTCGTTTTTGTAATTTTCTATCCTGTTCGTTAGGATCCGTTCATCGGGGGTCCTGCCTAACCAAGCTGATTCCCCCTTGACATTTCTCAAGGCTGATACTTTGGCGCTCTGTCTGAACAGCAAAGCGATGACAGTGACCACCGCCAGGATTTTCATGTTACGCCAGGAAAGTACAAGACACTGGAAAGGGACGACGACAACGGAGCAAGTTGTACACTTAGTAAAGAGGCAAATCGTCGAGGTGTGTTAAGGAGAAAATTGAAAAGTGGCTGAGGCAGCGAATTCTCAACGTGTCTGGACAAAAACAAAATTGACAAATGGGTCAAAAGGGGCCCACGCTGTTATGCCCACGCCAACAAGGGTGTGTGTGTGTGGGGACATTTTCTCATGTGCATAAAATAGCAATTGGGGAAGTTATTTTTTTTTTTTTTTGCGACACGCTTGAGCTGGATGATGTGTGTATGTGTACAAAGTGGAAAAGAACAAACAACTGAATTTATGTTGCCCGTTCGAAACCTATCTAAGCGTCTGCAAAGAATCGCTATACAACTCGGCATGAGAAGGGAGAGGCAGAAGTAGACAATTCCCTTTCGCATGTATATACACTGCGCGTGTATTACCCAAACGGTAATGTAAGAAAAAAAATGTGCGTTCGCGGAAGAGGAAAAGTTTAAAGAGCAACTGCCCAAAACGTGGGGCTCCCCCCTCTATTACAACATCCCCGTGTTATATTCACTAAAATGAAAATCTGAGGATAACCGTTCACTCCTTTTTCTGCATTATCAAATCTCCACTTGTGTCCCACAAGTGTACAAAAAAAAAAAAAAATCCTCCCCAGCTTGTCATTTTTGGGGGCACATTTAAAAGATTAAAATAGTCTGGAATTTATCTTACGCGGGTTAAAAAAGAAAAAGAAAAAAAAAAAAGTGGACATGCACACATGATGCGGATGCAAATATGACATGGTGTTCGTCATTTTAATAATTCTTTGGAAGGAAGTCAAATGGTATGTAAACATAATTTTATTTTATGGGATTGATTAATTTTGCTTTCTTTATAAGGGAATTAAAAAAAAAAAAAAAAAAAGCACAAAAATGGGCACACACATGATGAATGGGTTAGATTAGTGTGACACTGGATGGTATAGTGAGACACACTGGGCGGCATAAAGTGGCATTGGATGACACAACATCGCATAGCTAGCAGCTCGAATGGCGCAAACATGTACACTGCTATGCACACAAAGAGGGCATACACACACACACATACACACAATGCTCATTTGTATTATTTACTTGAAAAGGGGGGGGGGGGGAAGGGTCTAATTATACACATAAAAATAAGAGGCAAACATCAAAGTGGTAGTGTGTTTTGGCGCGGCGACGGGAGATCCAAGAGGACTCGATGTGACACGAAAATAAACTCATCGTTTAAAAAAAAAAAAAAAAAAAAAAAAAAATTGAAAGCCGCTCAAACGATTATACATAAAAGGACAGCATATACGGAAAGGTGGGAATATCCAAACGTGTTATATCGAACGGGTCGATGTTGCAAACGAGTTGTTCTTCCTTCCCCTCACATGTTGGCTTATTCGTCGCAGATGCTACTAGCAGAGTCGTACCAGTCATAGTCATTGTCGACGAAGTTTTGGAGGGAAGACAAATAAGAGGTTGTATCAAGTTTGCTTGTAAAATCATTGATTAATTTGTTAGATGCATTTTTCCATATTTTAAATAATTCTTTAAATTTTATTTGGAGGTTTTCTATACCTTGGTCAAAGTCAGAGCCAAGCGGTTTATCAGTGAGAGTAACTTTAGTTAACTCATCTGTAACTTTTTCTCCCCATCTGATTAAATTCTTTTTCATTTTAATTGATTGTGCCTTTGTAACACCGATATTAAGTTCATTAGGATGTATACCTCTTTGTAATGACCTTTCAATATAATCTTCATAATTTTTTAAAATTCGTACAATCAGATCTGTGGTAGACACTCCTTCTGTTCGTTTTGTAGCTCTGAATTTACCAGCCTTCTTCAACCACGCGTATATATCATCATTAGGTTCTTCAATACTACTCGATTTACCTTTTTTTTTTTTTTTTTTTTTTTGATTATTGGCATAGGGAATATCATCATGGGCGACAAAATCTATTTTATGCTCTTCCATAAACTCAGGAGTTATAACCCATGGGCAAGGAGATACGATTTCATCAACCCATCTTACGTGCTTCAACGTTTCAGTTCTCTCTTCTAACGTTTGGACAATCTGTCCTTTAAAAAGTTTTGTCTCATTGTCGCTAGTGACACCTACAATGAGGATTGTATTATCGAATAACTTTTTGGCTTGCTCCAGTTGCTTCATGTGCCCGAGGTGTAGCATATCGTACACACCGTCTGCATAAATTACAATTTTTTTCTTTTCCTTTGGCATGCCTTTGAGCAAATCATCCGCTTCATCCGTTTCGCCTGTTTTTTCCTGACTGGATTTGGTGCCCTCATCGGTAGCATCACTCTTTCTGTGCTTCCTGTTGGGAGACTCCGATGCGTCACTGCTTTCTGGCGTATGGCCCGTTCCAGCACTGGCGCTGCTATAACTACTGCTGTTGCTGCGGCTACGGATTCCTTCACTGCAGCTATAATGACATTCCTCTACAGAATTTTCCCCTTTACTCTCATTTGATAATTTATCCTTACTGGAATTATTTCTCCTTTTTATTTTCATGTTACTAGACTTCCTATCTCCTCCACAGTAATGATCTGAACAGCTATTATATTCGTCCTTATCGTAACTGCTACTTTTGTGTTCTCTGCAAGACCTCATTTCGGTCGAATTTTTTTTCACCACACCCTTGTCGGTTACTGCACCCATGGGAAAATCCCCTTCATCAATTATATCATGATAGGTCGTATTATTGTACAAATCGTGATCGCTGTTTTTCTTCACATTGCTTGTGTTTAGTAGATGATCATTTTGGTTCCCATTGAAATGGTTTGACTGAGGGCCATTCATCGTTTGTGCTTCACTGGAAAGTGATAGCAGTTCGTCTGGGCCCAACTTTTCGTTTTCATCACGTGTGTGTTTACTTTTGGCGCTATTCCCAATGGGCTCACCCCACCTGCGCCGCTCCTTCAAACAAGCCTCCAACTCAAAACACGTTTCATAATTATCTACATCGTTGTTATAAGATTCATTAGCAACTCTGCTAATTACACCCAACACTTTGGTTACGCCGCTACTATCATCATCCTCATCTGCAGAGTAATAATATTCATCAATATTGTTTATAGTGTTACTTAAACTTTTTCTTTTTTTTAAATCCTCTTTGACTGTCCTCAGAAAAAAATTGGAGTCGGACATGTACATGGCGCAGAGGTTGTCTTTTTTATTTCTTTTTCGAATAATTATAAACATAGGATCAAATGATTTTGCAAAATCTTTTAAAAGTTTTTCTGAATGCTGTCTCCACAGTTTGAATAATCCATGCACCTTGTCCCTTATTATGTCTATCCCTTGGTCAAAGTCAGAACCAAGCGGTTTATCAGTGAGAGTAACTTTAGTTAACTCATCTGTAACTTTTTCTCCCCACCTGATTAAATTCTTTTTCATTTTAATTGATTGTGCCTTTGTAACACCGATATTAAGTTCATTAGGATGTATACCTCTTTGTAATGACCTTTCAATATAATCTTCATAATTTTTTAAAATTCGTACAATCAGATCTGTGGTAGACACTCCTTCTGTTCGTTTTGTAGCTCTGAATTTACCAGCCTTCTTCAACCACGCGTATATATCATCATTAGGTTCTTCAATACTACTCGATTTACCTTTTTTTTTTTTTTTTTTTTTTT